CTGTTTTAGGCTGTGGGAAGGAGGAAGAGCAAAAGGGCACATGCTCCAGTTGAGTCATTTCCCTTCAAAATAGCCTTCTTATATGTGAAATACATTTCTTTGGCCAGAATTTAGACACATTGGCCATTCCTACTTGTAAAGGAGTCCTTTGAAACTAACTTTTTAGCCAGGAGTATGCTGCCCTTTATAAAGTCAGGTTGTCTTACGAATGGAGCCTGGGGAGAATGAACAGTAGGTGGTAATGAGCCATGTCTGCCACAGATTGCCTATTTATTCTTATTGGTCTTGTTTTTAAATCATCAACACTCTGCCCTGAGATCAAATGTTGCCAAAGTTCTTCTTTGTGTTGTCAGTCTTTTCTTTGGGTCTCACTTTCTTTATCTGAGAAAATGGTGTTACTCTAAAAAGATTTTGTGAAAATAAATAGGAAATGATCGGAAAGAGTATATATATGGAAAAAGAGTACACGCACACACATACACACACACATATATATATATATGAAAAAAGTGAACAAACAACTCTTAAGTGGGGCAAAATTAATGTTTACCCAACTCCCAGTCTCCATTAAGTCATAAGGTTTTTTTCCCCTAGCATGGAAACCTCTCTCAGGGACATGAATTATTTCTCTTGAGCTCACTGAGGGACTTCTAAGTGCTTACCACTTCTATAATTTTGAAAAAATGAGCAGGCATTAAAGATAGTGATCACGCTTGCCACATTACTCTGGAAAACAATATTTACATTTTAGACTACATACAATTTGTATTCTTTAATTCTCTCTCATTATTATTGGATTATGCTAAAACATTAGTATTGCTAGGTCCAAACAATAATGCTTAACATACTATCAGCTTTCATACTTTCATTCACTCAACAGCCATTTATTGTTTATTACATATTTGGCACCAGGGTTTTTGTTACAGATACAAAACATAAGGTTCCCTTCCTCTTGGACCTTACGTTGTTTTGTGTGCGTGTGTTTTGTGTGCCCATGCTTTTGTTGAGGGACACAAACCATCAAGTAAACAAACGAATGGACAAGAGAGTTCCAGGTAATAATCAGTGCTATGATACATAGGAGGATGTGAGTGAGAGGGAAGAGCTGTTTTAGAGCTATTTTCCTTGAGGACCTAAGGCATGAATGTGAGACAAAGCCATTGACAAGCACGTGATTTACAATGAAAACTTATTTCAAGAATTGAGCTCCTCCTACTACACAAAATGATGATTCAATTTTTATTTAAATCAAGTATCAGCAAAAAACTGTATCAGCTAAGGATGTTGAACAAGTTCAGGAATGTTAAAGATTAGAGTGTGTGCAACAGTAGATTTCTTTTGAAATAGCTCCAAGTAGGTGTGGCTTCAAAATGAAAAGATTCACGTACCCTCTTGCTTAGTTGGTCTCTATGCTAGTTACTTCTGGGAAATGGAAAATCTGAGTAATCTCACTTGATTGTTAAGAGTATAATGTTATCAGTGAACTGGCAAGGGGAATTCTGTTACAAAAACAAAATTCATTCTAATTACTCTTTGAAAAAAACTATTTTGTATTTGTGATTCATGATCTTGTAAAATCACATGTGTAGGAAAAAAAAAGTTGACATCTGCCTGGGGCAAAGCAAATTTGATTAGATGTTCTGGTGGCCAGAACATGTTTATTCATTATTTGTAATTGAAACATGAGTGCTGCTCATCTTATGACATGAATTTAAAACATACAGGGTTTTAGATTTGATTCCTGATATTAAAAAAACCCAGAGAACTTCATTCATAAGTCTAGGTTTTTGAAAAATTAGACTTGATTCTCGTTATAACATAAGGTGACCAGATTTTAACATTGGTAAAGCGGGACACCATTGACAAGGGGTAGTAGGGTGGGAGGGTGGTGGTTCTTAATTAAAAATTTGGTCTATATGGAGCAACAAAAATTTTCATAGAACGCAAAAATAGTATTGTAATATTTTTTAAATTTCAACATAAGTACAATTTACAAATATACATTAAAAATTATGTATAGTATTATTTTATTCTTTGGCATATTTCTTGTTGAATTCTAACAACTGATCAACAATACGAATTTTGATAAGGAGTTCTTGATAATCAGTTCTCAACAATTATTTGTTATTATTCAAGTTTAACATTATAAAATTAACAAAAATAATATAAAACTCATATCCTGGCGAAATAGCCACCTGGCAGCTGAAAACCGTATATTCCCTTCCTGGTCTTCCTGTCGTTCCCTAGCTTGTTGTGCATTCTTTCCAAAAATCAGGACTTTCTAAAAATGCCATGGGATGCAGGACAAATTGTTAAATATCAGGACTGTCCCATCAAAAGCAGGACGTCTGGTCACCTTATTATAACATAATGATGTCACTAATTAGAGCCAAGTTCTTTGATAGCTCTCTAAAATTTGAAGAGTTGAAATTCATAAGACAGAATAACAAAACATATTATGGGAGAAGAAGCAGGCACTAGGAAGATGGCTGTAAGTCCAAAAGATGGGATACTGACTGGGCCCGGTGGCTCACACCTGTAATCCCAGTACTCTGGGAGGCCCAGGCAGAGCCACCTGCCTCTAAAAATAGCCAGGGGTTGTGGCAGGTGCCTATAATCCCAGCTACTTAGGAGGCTGAGGCAACAGAATAGCTTGAGTCCAGGAGTCTGAGGTTGCTGTGAGCTATGATGCCGTGTCTACCTAGGGCAACAAAGCGAAACTCTCTCTCTCAAAAAAAGGCATATTAATTAAGGAACTTATGAACTTTAAAAAACAGAATCACACATGAGTAACACAGAATAGACTTTGGACCCAGATGGGAACTCATGCCTCAAAAAGTGAAATATAAATAGGATGAGGTAGGAGTGGAGTGGAGGTGGGGTAGGGGAAGGAGTGAAAACTTTGAGGGTTATTGAAATCAAAGGACATCTAGGCTCGGCACCTGTGACTCAAGTGGCTAAAGCGCCAGCCACATACACCTAAGGTGGCGGGTTCGAATCCAGCCTGGGCCCAACAAACAACAATGATGGCTGCAACTGAAAAATAGCTGGGCGTTGTGGCGGGTGCCTACTTGGGCAGCTGAGGCAGGAGACTTGCTTGAGCCCAGGAGTTGGAGGTTGCTGTGAGCTGTGATGCCACAGCACTCTACCCAGGGTGACAGCTTGAGGCTTTGTCTTAAAAAAAAAATTGACATCTAGGTCCCTTCTAGTCTATCTGATTTTAAGAGTCCAAAGAATGTGTTAACCAGTTTTTAAAAACAGCTTTATTAAGATACAACTTACATAATCATAACATTCACCCATTGTAAGTATACAATTCAGTGATTTTTAGTAAATTCAGAGAGTTGAGTAACCATCACCACAACCTAACCCATTTTTTTCATATTGTTTCTGAGATAGAAACTATTTCTAGTATAAAGGTACATGGTGATTCATTAAAATGGTAGGGCGAATGTCAAAAGTGCAAAGGTGACTCACTAAAAATGTGTGTCATGGGCATGTACAGGCAGCTGCTCTACTGAAACAAAAAGGGAGAAAGAGAAGGAGGGTGGCTGGAGGCAGCACAGAGCAATGGTTATCTGTCAGGCCCTAGATCAGACTGCTGGGTTTCAGATTTTGTCATTCCTACTTACTTCATAGCTGTCTGGCCGCAGGCAAGTTACCTAAAACTCTCCAAGCCCTAGTTTTCTTATCTGTGAGATAATACTACCCTGTAATATGGGGTTATGAAGAATAAGGGACATAATATATTGAAGGGACTCGGCATAGTCCTAGCACACAGTCAGTGCTCAATAACTGTTAGCTATTTTTATAATTATCACTGGGTGACTATTAAGTAGGCTTTCATGAGCCAGACAGAAAAGATCACATGCTTTATGATTTGATTTGTGTGAAATTCTAGAAAAGGCAAAATGATGGTGATATAAAGCAGATCAGTAGTTGTTACAGTCCAGGAAGAGGGGGTAGGAAATTGACAGAAAAGGGTCATAGGGAACTGGGGGAATGTTCAATATTATGATTGGGAGAGTGTTTTGTAAATACTTGTCACTGAATTGAACTCTTAAACTTGAATTTTTTTTGTATGTAAAACAAAGCCCTCCCCCCGCCAATCCTTAAAAATGTAGCTTTTAACTTTCCAATTAAATAGTTTGGTTTAATTATTTTACATGTCAGAAGGAAGATTCAGCTTCTGAGATCAGCCAGCAAATATTTGTTGAGCACCACAAGGCAGTGTTCTGGGTGGGGATACAACCTGAAGCAGACACCATCCTACCCTCATGGAGTTTATACCACGAATTTTACAATTATGTTTGGAGCTACAAAAGGGGTCAGTACAGGATGCTATTGGGGAAGTAAACAGGACCGAGGGGAGGGAGGTACAAGAGCGCCAAGTGCTATAAATCCTTGTCCTGTGGTTTTTCTATTTTTAAACATTTACAGAAGCAAACACAGCGTCCTTGTATCTGAAGACGGTGTTCTCAATCTCGTGTCGGGGCAGGTGGCGTGTCAGAGGTGATCGTGACCCAAGACCACACCACCTGCGAAATGCTGTTCCCACTTGGCGAAGGAAATGGCGCTACACCAAAGACCAGGTGGATGTTTCCATGGGCCCCATGAGGAGCACAAATTTGACCTTGGCCTTGTTAATTCTGCGCTCTCCAGGTTCTAGGAGCGTGCCAACTTCAGCAGAGCACAGGCGACAGGTAACCTCAAGGAACCTTCCCTAAAGGCCGGCAGGAACCCACAGACTCAGTCCGCCAGGTGATTCCGCCCGCGTGGCGGGTGGGGTAGCCGGCTGGGGGCGGAGACGCGTTGCCGGAACCGGGTTGGTTCCCCGTATGCAGCCGCGTGGGGGGCGGGGCAATAGGGGGCGGGGCCAGAGGCGGGGCGGGGCGACCGAAGTCCTCTCGGGAAATGGATGCTCTTTGGGCCCGCCCGCGCCGGGGGCGGGGAAAGCTCGGCTTTGCTACGCTTCAGCCCCGCCCGGGACCCGGCGCGTTCGGCGGGAGACCCCTTCCCTGGCTGGCGCTGCGCTGATCCCCGAGCCGAGGAAACGGAGTAGTTTCTGAGTTCTCTGCTCGGTTTTAGGGCGGCAGCAGCCGGAAGAGGAACATGGCACTCATAGGCGGCCAAGCGGAGCTGGAAGCCGACGAGGTACTAGCGGATGGGGAGTGCGGGCACTGCCCCTGAGACCCGGGATAGAAGTCCGTGAGTGAGGAGTGAGCCTGGCTGCGGCAGCCGAGGTCCCGCCCCCTTGATCCCCTGCCTGGGACGGGTATGGGTGGGGGCACCCAGCCTTCGTAGGTCTGTCCCGGTCGGAGCAAGGGGGGCCCTGAGGCGCGCCGAGCAGAGGGGCTGCCAAGGCTTGGGGCACCGGTCTGGAGGACCGTTCGGTGCGAGCGAGCGGGAGCGGGGGACCGCATCTCCGAGCCGTTCAGAACCTCTCTAGGGACTCCCGGGCTTTACGAAGTCTGACCCTGAAGTCCGGACACTGGCCTTCTGGGGTTCTGTGGAATCGTCTCCCAACCTGGGAATCTCACCTTCTGTGGAAATTTCTTGGTGGCAGATCCGACAGGTTTCCGATCTATGAAAAGAGTGGGACAGCGGGACGGAGGAAGAGTTGAGGGGTATCTTCCGTCCGGGTCAGGGTCAGGCCGGACTGCTGAGAGTCTGGAGGGCCAGAGGGCAGGATAAGCAGCCCAGGCTCTGGGGCTTCTCCTTCCTCCCACGCAGGGCCGGGACACTTACCCAAACAGGTCTCCAGTGTGGGTAGTTGACGTGGGAAGGCGCTTTGAGAAACTCCTGTGGTCTCAACTATGTTTAAGTAATTAGCTACTTCCTCCCATCGCGGCGTCTGAGCACCTCCCGGCGGCAGCGCCGGACCTGTTGATTTATTGACTGTTCTTTCAGCACTTGGCAGCTCCGGAGAGAGCGCGCTCTCTTATGCTTGAAGTTGAGGCGGAGGCTCTGACAGCTGTAGCAGCACCCATAGCTGCTGCTGCTGCCATTTTACCTGTCGCTGTCCTTAGAAGGCTTTGGTTTCAAATGATGTAATAGTGGATGATCTGGAGGAGGCGGTTGAGATTCCTGTCCATCTCTAATGCCAGGAAACTCCTAACCACGAACACTATGCTTTAAATGTGGGCCTTAAAATGAAAACAAAACAACAACTGAACTGTAGCTTCCTTACATGACTGGCAGACAAGAGGCCAGGGTGTCCAGAAGCTTCGTTGTAGCCTGTGCCTTGTATTGACGGCCCCAAGACCACACACCAGTGAACTGCTGCTTGTTTAGCTGTATCTATTTATTGCTGAAACTTTTAAACAACTTATAAAGGCAAATGATGAAGTAGCATATCTGTAGATATTTTCATCTGGACAACCTCTGTTTATAGCTTTAGGCTATCTTTTTGGTGTGAGCTGGAGCCAGCCGTTTTCCTTCATGTTCTTCCTGTCTTAGTTCTCTGTAATCAAGGTAGCAGTGCTTTCCTGGTGCTTTGACCATACATTCACTTCCTTCCTCAAAAGTTTTTATGGCCCCTTTTGTCTATTAAATTAAATATCCATGTGCTTGGCCTGCAAGGCTCTTTGCAGTATGGTCTCAGTCTCATATCCCAGGCTTGTCCCCAACCACTTCCCTATATATAATCATTTAGCTTGATCATATTATAAATGAGGAAATGAGACGGTAGGCTGGAGAAATATTTGAATCCTGGCCTTTTTGTCAGAAAAGATTTGCTGTGCCCACGGCTGTGCAATCGTCTACACCAGAGCATTGTTGAGGGGCTGCTGTATTAATTATTAACACTGGGACAATAGAACTGGAACTTTTCCAGAAATAACTTAGACAAGCTATGCCCACTGACTAAAAGCTATGCCTTACCTGATGATGAGGAGGGCTCTAGCTCTGTGGGGGAAGTAAGGTTTTGGAAGAGCAGAGAACCTGGCACACAGATGCTTGGTAATTGTATATTTGTTGAATGAATGAATGAATGAATGAGGAAAAGATGTTGCTTAAAAACTTTTCAATTTTTGCTATATTCTTTATTTATTTATTTTTTTTATTCATTAACTATGAATGAGTCCCAAGTAGCTGGGACTACAGGCTCCCACCACAATGCCTGGCTAGCTTTGTTTAGAGACAGGTCTTGCTCTTGCTCAGGCTGGTCTTGAACTCCTGAGCTCAGGCAATCCACATGCCTTGGCCTCCCAAAGTACTGGGATTCCAGGCATGAGCCACTGTGCCTGGCCATTGGTGTATATTTAGCAACCATGTATTGAGATTTGCTCTGTGCTCAAACTTGGTAGGTGCCTTAGAAGGTATAGTTTTGGCCTCCAGGGTTCTCAATCTGGATAGGGAGATAGGATGTGTGTACAAGAACTTTGGAAAAGAGCTCGAGTCAGGGTAAACAAATAAATAGTAGTAGGTTATAGAGTGAGTACCTGGGACTTACTTGTAGAAAGTCCCTAACTTTCTGTAAATGGCTGAAGCGCTCTATCCATAAGTTAATAAAGCTCTGTTCTTCGATTTTACTGGATATGTAAATAGCATATTTCAGCTAGGAAGATTTTCCTACATTTAAGAGAGCCCAGTAATCTTGTGGCCATATTTGATATTCATAGTATTTGTAGTCATTTTGTAGTCTTGAGAAGTAAAAAGGGACGAAGTGGTATATTTGGAAAAGTACTAGGCTAGGAATTAGGTAACCTGTCTCTTATCTCTCCTTGCCCCAAAGTCATTCATCATTTATGTGTGCAAACATCTGCTTACTTTAGGTGCCAACCCCTGTTTTAGCCTGGAGACATAGAACAAGACAGATAAGGTCCTGTCCATGACTAGTGACATTGATTGAGGAAGTCTTTCAGCCTCTGAGGGTCCTGTCAGTTTCCTTATCTGAAAGAATGACTGGGATGAGCCCTAAAAGGGATCCTTTTTCGGACCCCACTAATAATATGGGAATCCTTTTCCTTTCAAAGTACCCAAAGAATGATAGTGGTAGAGAAGCTCTCATGATAGCTGTGGGATGGATGTTTTCTTGGGCAAACTGATTTTATTTTAAAAGGTGTCAGTACAATAGCTGTGCGAGCACAGATGTTAGGACTTGCGTCCTCAAGGGAGGCAAAAATTGGTTCTTTAGAGGAAAGCATCTTATGATGATTTGTGGCCTTCAAAGCTCAATTGACAAAATCTTATTTCTTAACATTTAAATTTCTCTCACTGGGTTTTCTTGGTGTTGCACAAGCAATGCTGACAATGAGTTCCTGGAATATGTATGCAGAATATATGCAACAATTTATGGCAAATAGATGTCTGTGATTGGAGGACTTTCTTATCAGTTGCTTGATCTTGAAGTTGTGGTGACCTCCACATACTTACAGACTTCCTTTGGCTGCCTCGTGAACGTGGCTTACATTTGCTTACATTTCTGTGTTTTTGTGTGTGTGACTTGGGATTTGAGAATTAAATGAGAATAGTTGATATTTTATTATTTAATTCCATTAAAGTTATTCATCCTTCCAATAATTAATGTCAAGTGGAAAAATTGACAATATCTGAATGAATATCTTCTGTGTAGGTAAAAATTATTTTGTCATATGAAACAAAAACTTGACTAAAAATAACTTTTAAGAAAATAACTTTTTCAGTTGTCTTATTTTTGCTGAAAAAATAACAAGTTTTGAATGTTTTAAAAAAATTGGTTACACTGCTATTATATAGTTATAAAAATTGATAATTTACATATATAGTTTTATATATTATATTTTACATTATAATTATATTGAAATACTGAGAAAATACAGTTATAAGGTTAAATATTAATCAACTTAAATTTTACTTTTATTTATTGTTTGTTTTTTTGAGATAGAGTCTCACTTTGTCGCCGTTGATATAGTGCCTTGGCGTCACAGCTCACAGCAACCTCAAACTCTTGGGCTCAAGCGATTTCTTGCCTCAGCCTTCCCAGTAGCTGAGACTATAAGCGCCCACCACAATGCTCAGCTATTTTTAGGGACAACGTCTTGCTCTGGCTCAGGCTGGTCTGGAACCCGTGAACTCAGGCAATCCACGGGCCTCGGCCTCCCAGAGTGCTAGGATTATGGGGGTGAGCCACCACGCCTGGCCTAAATTAACTTAAAGTTTTTGCATCATTCTGAATTTTATTATTGAATAAAAATAGTAAGCTTTATACGTAGGCTTCCCAGGAGAGTGATAATGAAACAAAGTTGAGACATACTGGCTTAGGGAAAGAAATGGTTTATGTGACAGATGCTTTCATGGCCTGCTTTTTGGCCCAGTAATTTTTAGATCTGGTTCTGATTTAGAAAATTTCCCCTTGGAAGTTTAGATGAAGTTTTGATAAAATTGGTTATCACAATTTTCTTAGAACCATATTTATTCTTTCCCTCCAGGTGTTCATTGAACACCTGTCAGGTGCTAACAGTCTTTAGGCACTGGATATACACAGGAAAACAAGGCAGTTGTTACCCTCGAGGAGCACACACAGTCTAGTAAAATAGTTGCACAGGTAACCAGTTATCACTTTTGGTCAGGGTAGATTTTGGGTTGGGAGGCGGGGTGTCTCATCATCCAGAGCATCCAAAGCAGTGGATTTATTGCCTTGTAAGTTTTAGTAGTTATCGCAGGACAACAGGTGCAATCAGGAATGGTTGGGCTCCCTACTGTCGGGGCTGGCAAAGACCTGAAAGGAGAGATGGTACTTGAACTGGGGCTCAAAGGGTGAGCGGGGTTGTGCTAGGCAGAGCCAGTGGGATAAGGCACAGGCTTTGAAGGAGTTTGAGATGGGCTGGAATGAGAGCAGTGTATTTGGCAAAATGAGAAGGAGACCCACTGGTGCCTGAGATGGAAAAGGTGGGCTTGGATCAGGTGATGTGTCTGGAATGTCAAGCAAAGGAGTTTGGGTTTTATCTCCTACACAGTGAGAATCTGGGAGGTTTTTAATGGGGCACGTGTGATAAGATTATTCTAGAAAGGCAAATCTGGTGAAGGAGATGCAGCCAGGTTGTTGACATGACAGCAGGAAGGCCAGGAGCCTGTTGCAGCAGTTAGTGTGGGAGGTGATGAGACTGAAGTGGAGCAGAGGCTGGGGGTTCAGAAGAGAGGAGGCCGGATGGGAGGGACTGCCCAGAGAGGAC